CTCCCCCCCCCCCCCCCCTCCCCCCCCCCCCCTTCCCCCCCCCTGCTGTTTCCGGGGGGGGGTCATGTCCTGCGGCCCCCCCCCCCCCCCCGGCCCCCGGCCTCCACCCAGGGTAAATCTGCTCTCTGGGGAACCCTGAGCTGGAGGTCCCCTAGGAGACCAGGGCTAGAAAGCAAATCCCACTAGGCCAGGCCGTTGGAGGAACGAAGAGAGTGTACCTGCCCTCAGGGGTGCAGAGAGCTCCCTCCCACACGCTTGGGGAAGGATGAAGGAAAGACCCCAAGGGTGTCCGCTGAGCCCACTTACCTTTCCACCCACTGAGCAGGACGGGGAGTCAAGCGCAGAAAAGCAGGGGACCACGCGACTTATCTGGCGGCCCCCCAGAAGGCCCGATGTCACCCTCCTCTATGGAAAGTCACTCCAGAACGCGGGGTGGGGGGCGTCACGCTCGCCAGCCTGGATGCCCCAGGCTCCCTTCCCGCCCTGTGTAGCGCCCCCAACCCCAGCCCGCCACCCCTGTACCTCGCGAGGCGGGCTGCGGTCCCTTCCCGGGAGCCCCGCCCGCGGCCCCACTCACCAGTCCCGGAGTCCGCGAGGCCGCCCAGTGCTGCCAGCACCCGCGGCAGGAGCAGAAGGAGCGCCCGGCGCCCCATGGCGGGGAACCGACTGTGCGCCAGCGGCCGGCCTCGCGCGGGCGGGAGGAGCGCGCACGCTGCCGGGGGCGGGCTTTCCTCCGCTCGCGCCGCTCATTGGGTCTGGCTGGGGCCGTGGGCGGGGCGTGGGTGCACCTGCGCCTCCCGCTCCCGGGGCCGCGGGGCCAGAGACCCAGCCAGGCTGCCGGGAGCACCGCGCCCGTCCCTCCGCTGGTCTTCCCACAAGCCGTGGGACAGCACACCCAAGCCTAACTCGGGGCCTGGCCGTTGCCACGCTGAGGGGCAAAGTAGGAGCGCTCAGCCATGCTTAACCAAAGGATTCCCAAACTTAAATGAGCACAGGAATCGCCTGGAACTCTCCTTAATAGGCAGACTCTGATCCTGCAAGTCTGAAGCGGGGCCTGAGAGTCTCTAACAAAATTATCATCAGGTAATGCCTTTGTTGCTGGCCCTCAGACCTCACACTGAAACGCCAGGGCTTAATAGCTTCCAAACTAGGGCAGCACTGGGACCCCAGGTGCCCCTCTCTGCCTCCGGTCTTCCCAGCGACCTTGGCAGAAGCTGGCCTTCCTGACCTGGGTTTGGGCGATGGCTCTGAGGTCTCAGTGCTCTTTAGCTGGCGGCCCCCATACTGTAAATACAAAGAGTATGAAAAGCCCTGAAAAACACCATTCTTCTTTCAGTCTGGGTCGCAGGAATGGGATGCTCTCATAAACAAGGACGCTGAGCCCATTTGGTGGGTCTAAACCAGAGTCATACCTAATCCCCAGAGGGTCGCAGACTTCGGGGACTGAAAGAATTTGAAGGTCATTTTATGCAAAAACTGACATTCTGGGATGAGATGATGGATAAAAATGAGAGTTGGTGACACATTACCAAGGACATAGACTACGCTCCCATCCCCTTATTTAGCTAAGCTGTGGCATTCCTTCTTTCCAGTACACTGGGAGACGTGAGTGTCAGATTCTTGGAGAGAACGCGACTGAGTTAGAATTTTAGAATGTAAAACTGGCAAGGAACATTTATAGTGTTTGGGAGTGCAAGGCAGCAATAAAACACTCGGAAAGAAAATAGAAACAGAAAACTGAATTGCAAAGTGCCTTCTTAGAATTTATTTGCAACACAGTACTCCAACAGCTTTCTTTAAATCATACCTCCTCTTCATGTTCACTGCTGGTCCCATCAAACCACACTTTGAAGATATCAGAATGCCATATGCTCTAAAGTTTTCTTTAAATTCGTTGTATGCTCTGATTGCATAAGCCACTTAAAAGGACCCCTCCGCTTTTAACAAAAATCTCCTAGTGTGTCATATTGATTTCTGCTGAAAGGTTGTTGCTTTAGAACCAGATTATTTCAGATGCTTATTGGTCTTGAGTGACATAAGAGAGCACTCAGAGTTTTAAGAATATAGACTAGTTTTCCTCCCAGAAAGGCACTGAAGCTAGGGGTGAGTTCCTGGAATTGAAGTGTGGGAGACCTGGGTTCAGTCTCAGCTAAATGAAGTGATGTGTGGACGCAAATGGCAGCTATATTGTTAAAACAGCCCATATCAGCTCTTAATAACCCACACCAGCTGAAAAAACCACAGACATGCGTGATATAAGAATTTCAGTAACATTTGTATTTGTCTTTAAATCCTTATATTCTGACTCATTCTTAGTGATGTGTTGTCCTCTCTTAGGTCTGTCCCTCCATTTCACCTTAATCACCTTGTCAGCTCGTGGTGAGCAGAATAATGTCCTACCACCACTGCCACCTGAAAAAGGTAATGTTCTATTCCCCAGAGCCTGTAAAAAATGTGATTTATTGTTGTTCTGGTTGCAGGGTATGAAGAAAATCTGGCCTCACCCAGGTGAGTGTTGGCTACAGAAAAAGTAACAGCCTTTCCAGTTAAGCTGTAGATACTCTTTGATGCTGTTACTGGTTTGATTTTCTGCAACCCAAAAATTATGTCGATGTCCTAACTCCCAATACCTCAGAACGTGACCTTATTAGGACAAGGGTCTGTGCAGATTTACTCAAGTTCAGGGGAGAGCATTAGAGTGGGACCGTATCCAATGTGACTGGTGTCCTTAAAAATATGGACGCAGATATATACAGAAGGAAGACAGTGTGAAGAGACACAGAGAGAAGGCCATGTGAAGATGGAGGCAGAGATAGGAGTTATGCTTCTACAAGCCGAGGAGCATCTGAAGCTCCCAGAAGATAGAAGAGGCCAGGAGGATCTTTCTGCTAGAGCTTTCAGAGAGATCATGGACACCTTGATTCCAGACGTCTGGCCTCCGGAAATGTGGGCAGTACATTTCTGTTTTAAGTCACCCAGCTGCTGGTAGTTTGTTATGTCATTCCTATGAAATTAGCATAGATAAAAAGACCAAAACTGAAGAAGTGATCATTTCTTAAAGGTTAAGTGCAGTGCAGAATCCAAAACCACATCAATGAACATTTCATACTGTTCTTATTAAAATCCATCACCTTAAGGGCACATGGGTGCCTCAGTCGGTTAAGCGTCTGCCTTCAGCTTAGGTCATGAACCCCAGGGTCCAAGGATCAAGCCTCACATCAGGCTCCCTGCTTGGGAGGGAATCTTCTCCCTCTCCTTCTGCCCCTCCCCTGGCCCATGCAGGTGCACACGCTCTCTCTCTCTCTCTCAAATAAATAAATAATATACTTAAAATAAAATAAACCCCATCAACTTATTTTGCACTTTGAGTGGATCTTTCACCCACACATGACTTTGTAACATCATGCCTTGATCATTTCGAAAATAAAGGTTCACTAAGTTATGCTGATACTCCAAATGTTGACGCCTCTATCCTACAATATTTTGTAGATCACCTTTGTGACCATCCCTACTGATATCATCAGAAAAGATTTTGACTGTTGGAAATCTGGTAAGCTCATGAAGGTGGCCTCCAGTTTCCAAAAACTATATTCCCTCAAAAGCTTGAATTGTATCATTGGCAACAAATACTGCCAGTCGTTTTCCTTGAATTGATGCATATGCACCACTCATTTTTGAGGATCGAGTCTGCCAAGTACCCGAGTCTGAATAACCAGATGTCTATCAGTCATTCCTTCCTGTAAAAATGGTATTTGGTGAGAAGTGGGGCTCATTATGCTTGCAAGTCAGACGGTGGTACAGGTGGTTTCCTCCACCAACACTGGTACGCTATGGAAGGGGCTTAATGCAAATGCTCCAGTTAGTAACAGAGAACATTAAAAATCTATATACTATCAGGTTAAAATTTAATAAAATTAATCATTTGCATTGCATGAAGTACATTCTTATGGTTTTTTTTTAAAGGCATATTTTAAAGCTACAAGGATATGGTAGTATAGAATATACTGATGGCTAGGACAGTTTGGTGCCACCACCTTGAGTCATGGTAAGGAGGCAACAGTTTTACCCACCATTAGTGTTTGTTTGTTTGTTTACCATCAGGGCAAATGTCAATGTAATGAAAAAGGCAAATATAATTTTGAAAATAGCTTTGGCTTTGCAGACCTGCAGGTATACATAGACCATCTCAGAAAGGCCTCATATCCACCATATATAAAGAACTTTTACAACTCAATAATAAGAAGCCAACTGACCCCTTTCTTGCTCCCATCCACCTTGGCAGCTGCTCCAGCTTGGGGCTGTTAACACAGGAAGATGGTGGTTGCAAATAAAACCAAAGTCCCTGGGTTCCATCAACTCTAGGCTCCACCTTGCTATGAGACGTGGAAAGTACGTGCTGGGGTACGAGCAGACTCCAAAAATGACCAAGCCTGACAAAGCAAAACTAGTCATCCTTGTCAACAACTGCCCAGCCAGCCTTACGGAAATCTGAGGTAGAATACTATACCATGTTGGCCAGAACTGGTGTCCACCATTAACAGTGGCAATAATATTGAATTGGGCCCAGCATGTGGGAAATCCTACAGGGTATGTTCACTGTCTCTCATTGATCCAGGTGATTCTGGTATCATTGGGGGCATGCCAGAACAGCCGGATGAAACGCAAATCACATGAAAGTTTTCTTTAGTAAAACTGGCCAGAGCTTTTTGGTTTTTTGTTTGGTTTTGTTTTTTTAAGATTTTCTTTATTTATTTGACAGAGAAAAATCACAAGTAGACAGAGAGGCAGTCAGAGAGAGAGAGAGAGAGAGAGAGAGAAGCAGGCTCCCTGCTGAGCAGAGAGCCCAATGTGGGGCTCAATCCCAGGACCTTGGGATCATGACCTGAGCCAAAGGCAGAGGCTTAACCCACTGAGCCACCCAGGTGCCCCGAGCTTTTTGCTTTAAAAAAAGCTAAAGGACCCACAACTGAACCTGGAAGAAATAGAAAGCCTGAACAGACCCATAACCAGTAAGGAGATTGAAACAGTCATCAAAAATCTCCAAACAAACAAAAGCCCAGGGCCAGACGGCTTCCCGGGGGAATTCTACCAAACATTTAAAGAAGAACTAATTCCTATTCTCCTGAGACTGTTCCAAAAAATAGAAATGGAAGGAAAACTTCCAAACTCATTTTATGAGGCCAGCCTCACCTTGATCCCCAAACCAGACAAGGATCCCATCAAAAAAGAGAACTACAGACCAATATCCTTGATGAACACAGATGCAAAAATTCTCACCAAAATACTAGCCAATAGGATTCAACAGTACATTAAAAGGATTATTCACCACGACCAAGTGGGATTTATTCCAGGGCTGCAAGGTTGGTTCAACATCCGCAAATCAATCAATGTGATACAACACATTAATAAAAGAAAAAACAGGAACCATATGATACTCTCCGTAGATGCTGAAAAAGCATTTGACAAAGTACAGCATCCCTTCCTGATCAAAACTCTTCAAAGTGTAGGGATAGAGGGCACATACCTCAATATTATCAAAGCCATCTATGAAAAACCCATCACAAATATCATTCTCAATGGAGAAAAACTGAAAGCTTTTCCGCTAAGGTCAGGAACACGGCAGGGATGTCCGTTATCACCACTGCTATTCAAC